CACCCGGCAACACATCAAGGCTCATCATTCCCGACTCGATGTAGTACGGTGGTACTGAGTACTCGGGCCTTCTCATGTACTCAGTACCCAGTCTTGGGTACCCATGCAGCACCCTACTGCCTCCACGTTGTTACATTATGGTTGTATCTCCCCCAGCATCCCATCCAAGAGGATTTTGGGTGATGCACGCATCCGCCGGGGTTTTCTTAACGCACGGCCCTCAAGCGAGAAACCGATCGGCTGTTCTTGATGGCTGGGTTGAAGGATCGATGAGGGGAAGTGATGTAAGCACCACGAAGTCATGTATGAGTATGAATTTGGGTACGAATTGTGTGATAAGGTGATAAGTGGTAGGTCGACGGGGTCAACCAGGTGTTGTACTTTCGTCGTCAGGACCAACAAATAGGTATGGTCGGTAGGCACTGGGTGGGCACGTGTTCCTACCCAAGTTACGTACTTCTGGTCCTCCCGGTGCAGCCCCCCCTCCTTTTCTCCTCAGCCTCGCCTCGCGGTACTTGGGACATGTCTTTCTCACCTCTCACTTCCTACAGCGTCAATGAAATTTCACTACGGACAAGTACCGGATACCTTAACTTAAGAAAGACCAAAAAGACCAGGGGCAAGAGTTGAATTAGTCGCTTTACGCTGCGTTGTACATGGTGAATTACAATATCTTACTTTAGCGAGTATCTCATCTCTCTCTAGTTCCCCTCTTATATCGTCTTCGTTCAATTCAATTCCTGCGAAACCATCCTCCCGTCCACCCTTGGACCTGCTGCTCACCTTGACTCGAATCCAAATCCTTTACAGTATTCTTCGTTGCACCTGTCTTCTTGTCCTCCTCATCCTCTGCCTCACTTCCACGTCTCGGCCTCGGTCTCGGCCTGAGCACGTACTCATACGTCGTCCCAAAGTGATATCTCCTCTTCCGCTCCACAATCAGACCGCTATCCCTGATGATTTGGTCAATGTCTTTGTTCCACCAACATCCATAGTGATCAGCGTGCATTTTGGCACCGTTGTCCAGGACCCGGTTGATGAATCCGAGGTATGACCGGCCATGTTCGAGGAGGAGAATCCTCCCTCCCAGGTCACCTCCATACTCTGCAACCAGCGCATCCTCGTCTTCTTGCTGCCTCTTCTGCTCTGGGTCCGAGACAACACTCCGTTTGCCGAGATCCTCAAGACGTTGCCGAGATTCCTTTTCGATAATCTTCGCGTCGACCCCGTGGCTCTTCTCCCCGGGTTGTCTGCACAGTTCTCCCAACTGCCTCAAAAACGCCACCGGGTTAGTCTCGCTGCAGATCCCCATTGTTTGAATGATCGTGTCAAACCCCCCTTCTGGCCTCTTGATCAGGCCCTTGTCGCCGGCATCACCAACCACGAACTGCACAGGTCCCGAAAACCGTCTATTCTCCTGGGCCTTCTCCTGCAACCTCTCAAACTTCTTCTGCGCCTGTGACAGCATCACCCCACTCAAATCGTTAAAGACCAAGCCCCGCACTCTCTTGTCCTCGGGAGTGACCAGCGGGTCCAGACGGTACAGCTCCATATTCCTCCCCGTACCGGCACTCACCTCCAGCACATTCCCCCGCGCCTCTCTGCACAGCTTCTCCCTCTTGCTCCGCAAAAACATGAGCTTCTCGGACAACTCGACCTCGTCGTCAAAGTTCCTCGAGAGGTCCAGCCACCGGGACGAGACGTCGGCGTTTTGCGGGAGATCGAGACGCTCCGACTCCCTGACAGACCGCGCGTAGGACATGTACGTGTAGGCGACGTAGGTGGAGAGGAGGAAGCCAAACAGCGACGTGACCCAGAAGTACGTGTTGGAGGACATGTGGATGCGCTGCCTCCTGTTCCTGGCCGCGAGCGCGTCGAGCGCATCCTGGGCGGTGGCGCGGTCCAGGAGCGTCGGTCTGGGTTTGTGTTGCGATTGGGACTGTACTACCGGACGAGGGATGTTGGGGTTTGGGAGGGTCTGCTTCGTTGTAGGGGAGGCGTATCTGCGCCGCGAGGAGGGGAGGTGGAAAGAGGACCTATATGCGGTTCTTCTCGCAGCGGCCTGTAAAGGCTCTGACAGCACAGATACAGACCGCCGGACTGGCTGCGAAACAACAAGCCGTCGCTGATTGAGGCATGTAGACGTGGAGCGAGCAGCAGCTGTGCGGTTCGCAGCAATGGAGAGTGCGAGGTGCGGAATCCTCGAACACTCGAGATATAGCCTTCCGACCTCCGCCATGAGTACTCGCGCTCAAAAATCAACGGCCCATCTCTGTTGGAGCTTTCCAGATCTGAGGAACGATATGTACTGTCCAACATTGAACTGCGCCCAAAAATCGAGATGCTTGTGCTCCCCTTTTTAGCCGAGATTGATCCGACCTCGGGCTTCAAAGGGCGCGCGCCATCCAGACTCGCCAACTCTCTTCTGCGGAGAACGACGTCAACTTTGGTTAACCGGGTCAAGGTGGGCTAAGAGGACCTCGTATCTCGATGTGCTGCGGTTGGTAAGTTCGAGGATTCTCTTTAATCTCGCAAAGCAGATATATATATACATATACAGGTCTGATCTCCTCCCCTCCCCTTATGTCTAACGCCTCAGTTCCGAAGCACATATTGATCATAGGCGCTGGCGTCTTTGGTCTCTCCACGGCGCTCTCGCTCCTCTCCAACCCCACGTATAATGGTACCCGCATAACCATCATCGACGGTTCTCCCTCCCTGCCGAACCCCTCGGGCTCTTCTGTCGACGCGAACCGCATCGTCCGCGCCGACTACGCTAACAGACACTATGCTCGGCTAGCCTCCGAGGCGCAACGGCTCTGGCGGGACACGAGGGCGGAAGCGTGGGGAGGGGAGGGCAGATACCACGAGCCTGGATTCGTGCTGACGGCCGACGAGGACAAGGACGCATACTTGCGAGAATCTCTGAGCAACGTGCGGCGACTAGCGCAAGAGAACCACGGCAACGTAGACCTGAGCAAGATCCGGGAATTACGTGGATATGACGAGATTCGAAAGGCGACTGGCTACGACAATGTAAGCGGGGACCATGGCTACGCCAACTTCAACTCAGGATGGGCCGATGCCGAAGCGTGTGTCGCTTATGCCCTGAAGAGAATTCGGCGAGAGGGTGCCGGCCGTGTAACCGTCCGCCCAGGCGCACAGGTCGCCAGGCTCGTCTTCTCCGGAGACGATTGCAAGGGCGTGGAATTGGCTGGAGGGGAACAGATCCAGGCAGACCTGACCGTGTTGGCGGCTGGTGCGTGGAGTCCCAGCCTCATCGACCTTCAAGGCCGATGTCTGGCCACCGGGCAGACCATGGCATATCTGGATATCACCCCCGAAGAACAGGCTGCGATGGCAGACCGGCCGACGATCATGAACATGAGTCGGGGGATGTTTGTCATTCCCCCACGAGGGAACGAGCTCAAAATCGCACGACACGGGTACGGATATCGAAACCCAGTGAAAATATCCAGGGCGATCATCGACCCTCGTGGTGACGACTCGAACGGCGTCGACCCGGGGTACGTGCACGTCAGCGTCCCCAAAGTTGGCATCCCCATTCCGCGCGAAGCTGAAGAAGCCCTGCGAGAAGCCCTTGGCGAGATTCTGCCTCATATGGCAGACAGACCATTCACGCGCACGCGGATATGCTGGTACTGCGACACGTAAGTGATTCATTGTTTTTTTCGTACCTGTTTTTGGCTGCCCACTGTACCCGTACTTGTTGTAGCCAGCCGCTCTACTCTATTGTACCGCGAAGCAACACTGGGGCCAACAACCTCACTCGCTCAACTCTTCCTCCTTACCTTACCCACCTACCTACTTACCTCATATGTACTTACCGAACCACAGCCCGACCGGCGACTTCCTCATAACCTCGCACCCGCGACTCAAGCACCTCTTCCTCGCTACCGGCGGCTCGGGCCACGGATTCAAATTCTTTCCCGTGATCGGGGACAAGATTGTCGCGGCGATCCAGGGCCGACTGGAACCCGAGTTGGCGCACATCTGGCGGTGGAGGAGTCCGGAGGACCTGAGGGAGGAAGTCATCAAGAATGGCGGGGACGAGTTTATCGCATGTGAAGACGGGAGTCGGGCGGGGAGAAAGGGCATGATTCTCGACGAGGAGATGAAGAGGGGGACGGCGACGACATAGGAACGAGCAATGAGACATCCTCTTCTCATGTAGACGTGCAGTGGCTTGGAGTACTGTTACAAAAACAAAGTCCAACAGAGATGGAGGGATGAGAATTCATATTGAGCTATCATCAAGTCGTGGGCACTACTGACCACGATCAAGGTATCGTGTCAACCCTCCTGACGTTGACTCCATCCCAGAGACCAACTCGAGCATCTTCTGCTGCTTTTCTATAACAACAATCTGAGCAGACGGGTAGGATCTCACTTGCCCATCTGTGTATTTTTTTTTTTTTGGTTTCCATGACTGGCAAAGTTCCACTCATGGATGGAGAACCCAAGCTTTGAAATGTTTAAGCCTCCCCTTATTGGTAAAGCTGTCCGTGCGCGCTAGCCAGCAACTGGTCAATGGTGTGTTCTCTCTCTCACAACCACATGACCAAGCGCAGAGGAAATCGAAGAATGTTTCCACACAAGACGGTATGCGAAATCGACCAGCGCCGAATACCGTCCCCCAAGCTGATATCCCCTTTGTCGATGAGACCCAATGTCTAATAAGGTGTAAGCAGGCCGACTGCACCCGAGCCTTTTTGAGTGCCTTTGCCCCACGCAACAAAATGAAGGGATTTCGCTCAAAAACGCCATGCAATGCTCATAGATAGTCGTGACACAGGCGAAAAAGAAAGGGTAAGATTTGGTAAGTAGTTTCAGTCACGCTTGGCTTGCTATATGCAGCACTTGAGCGTGTCGGCTTTGCTACCCGCGACAATGTGACCTTTGTCGAGGAGCGGCCGAGGAAAAGATTGAATGTTGATACAAGATTGCCGGAAGAGAATCCCGTCCCGCGTAAGGCAAATCTAGACTTTGCGGAAGTCTGGCCCACGTTAGCTGACTGCTTCTGGGACAACTCGTCAAATGCCTCTCACCTGATAGTGTAGGGTAGATTTGTTCAAAGGCTTGATAGATCTCCTCACGGACCTTAGCCCCCGTGAGCACAATCTTGCCGCTGACGAAGATCAACAAGACGATCTTAGGCTTGATCATGCGGTAGATGAGACCAGGGAACAATTCCGGTTCATACGAGCTGAAGGGGTGATGCTTGGAGGCAAGACCTTCTAGTCGAATGGGGAACTTGATGTCGCATGAACCGACAATGTTCTGGATTTTGAAGTCGGTGAACTTGGCATTGAAGCCCAGTTTCTGGATGATCCGAGCGTACTTGCGGCTCGCAAGTTTCGAGTCATCTTCCGACTTGGCGCCAGTGACGACCATCTTGCCAGATGCGAAGATCAAGGCCGTGGTTTTCGGGTCACGGATACGCATGATCACAGCGGCAAAACGCTGCGAGAGTCAGTAAGTGCCAGCCATCTCACGCAGCGAAGGGGTTGCCTACCTTGGGATTGTACTCGGCGTTGCGAGCATGGAGTGCGATAGTCTTGAGGTCAAGACGGCAGTCCAAATTGACCGTAGCAACGATGTTTCTTCAGAGAATGTTAACCTCTGCTGACCTTGAGAAAAGGACAACAAAGGGACAATACTCACTGCAAAGTGGGCACAATACCACTCACACCAGCACCAGGCGTTGCGCCGGGAGTTTGTGGAGCCTGAATGGCGTTTCCTCCCTGCTGACCGTTGATCTTCCCATCTGCGTATGAGCCACCATTGAGGTTTTGTCCATCTTTCTCAGAGGAGGGCGGTGTCAAATCCCCAGCGCCACCAGGAAACGACAAGGACGCGGGAGAGGTGAAGGCTTTGGCCTGTTGCGCCGTGGACGGGTGAGTGGTAAGAGACTCCATGATTGCAGATGTGTGAGATCTTTGGTTGCGGCGCAGTGAAGCGGTCGCACTGGGTATATCCTCGTCGATGAGAGAGATCGATGAAGGATGAAAGCAGTCTGGAGAAAAATTTAAATGTTAGAGGTTAGGATGATGAATCGCCAAGTGACTTTGTGCGGGTGGCGAGGGTGCGGCAGAGAGAGGCGATCGGTCGCGTCGGTCGGTGCGAGGCTCGACTTTCAAGGTCAAAGTGAATTTCTGATTGAATTCACTTGACCAGCACGAGGTAGCCGCGGTATCAACTCGACGACGACGACGATGGGTCTTGAGATCGGAGAATCGACCTGAGGAAGAAAACGTAGAGAAGATGGATGCGGTGGTGTTCGTACCGAGATGTGGGAGATGAACAACTCAATGTCTCCCCTACAACACAACTGCCCTACTTCCAATTGGCAATGAGTCCCGTCGACCGATGAGGCTCTGTCTCAGATCAGGTCCGTTGAGAAACTTTTTTGGTTCGTCTGGCCTTGAGGAGCGACGACGAGGTTGGCAGAACGGAGGAGCAAGAGGAAGCAAGAGTGCGTAGATTTGCGATTGCGAATTACTAAGAGCGGAAATTGCAGACAGTCTATTGTGGCTTGGTTTCTTTTCTTTGTTTCCTTTGTTTTTGCCCTTGTGAAGAGAGTGGCAGGCGCGGGTCGCAGGTGAGATCTTTGGGTCTTTGTCCAAGAACTTGCGGATCTGGTTTGCGGGGGGGTGCGCCCAAGGGAGATTTATGGTGCGACACGACTATGTGAGAGAGCCAGTCGATGTCAGTGTGGGAGGGAGATAGGAGGATCAATCGCAGGCTGGGCAAGAATGCGCTCTGATGCCGTGCGAAGAATGAGGGGAAGGTGGATGGGAATCTGGCAGGAGGGAGTGCCAAGAACGAGAAATGTCAGGAGAAAGAGGTCGGCTGCACTTCGCGCGGAAAGAGGGCGAGGGAGGCATTTATAGTCCCAGGCTGTCGCCACAGAGAGCAGACTGGGAGCCCCGCCAGGACAGTGGCGCTACGCTACAACAGGCCTAGCTGGTGTCATCGAAATGCCCAAGCTTGCTGCAATCAAGCCCACATTTCGCCCTTACCCACCAGGAATCTGCCCAGCAACTCGCCTGTGCAGACCACTGCAGCCCCCGTGCAGCCCCCGTGCAGCCCCCCCTGCAACCTTTTGCGCCCTGCCCTGCTGCACCTTATCTGCCCCTTTTTTTCTCATTCCCTCTGCCTCGCTGCATGCCACTCGCTGGGCATTCCTGCCTAATCCGCCCTCCCGCGCCCCCTAAACTAAGGTATGCCATGATGCAACAAACACAACGTTTTTTTGCTCTCGAGTCATTCCAGAGCCTGGAAGCGTCATGGAAAAACACTGGGGAGAGTGTGAAACAGGATTTTCACCTTTTCGGAAGGAGTTGGCAAGATTGGGAAGTGAACTCCGGAAAGTGGGTCGCCCTCACGTGTTTCTTGGACGGACTCAGTGCTTCGGGCTTTTTCTGCTGGAGAGTTGTTGCAGTAACATCCGTAGTACCTCGTACCTAGGAGAGGTCGGGTTTGCCGCCGACCACATCCAGGGGTATTTTATTTGCCTGCGACATGGTCTGGCAGAGCTGTTGGAAATTCAGCAGTCAGCTGTCAAACACACCTGCGTTTTGACAAGCGGTCGAATGCCGTTTGACTGCGGACTCCCACAATGGCAAACAACCCAAGCCAGTTATGGAATGGGTGATAAGGAAGGAGGAGAGAGAATTGTGAAGGCAAAGAAAAAGAGCAAGGGAAGAAAAGAGGAAAATGGTGAGATGCGGAAATGAGTCACGAACCTGACGCGGTTTGGGCGATCGGTAGGTCGGTTTGTTTCACATGCTGGCTTGGCATGTCGTTGGTGGCAGGGATGACGAGGCCTTGACAGCCAATCACCACCGGGAAACCGTGTCCCGAAAGGTCGCCCAAAAATCCCCCAAACCGGTGTCATTCCAGCCAATAGATTGGTGGCACTTTCCGAAAGGATCCATACGAGGCCCACCCCTTCGTGCCTTCCCAGCTCGAAAGAGCGCAACTTTATCCGCCAACAAGTACGAGAAATTATTTGCTCTCGGAGAGCCTGCCCATTCCGGTCATGCAGCCTTGTAAGCGAAAGCCTCACACGTGCCTCATTACTAAGGCTGCAGTCTCGTCACCACACACTATTCAAGGGTGCGACCACCACATCACGAAACAGAAAGGTGATGGATCAGTCTGGCCGGTCTCTCATTTGCCTGACACCTTGATCCGTAGTTCGTTGAGATTCGCGGTACAGAAGAAGACTCAGCCGACCTAGAGAGCCAGTCCATCGAAGAGTGGAGATGAGCTCTATCCACATTAGCTACCTCCCTTGTACTTGTAGGTACTTGTACATCAACTCTACTTGTACGTCCACCTGTACTGGTACAGGGGATTTTTCCATTGATTTGACTCGCTGGGTTTACCAAAGCGGGGGTAAATAGATAACTGCAATTTTCATTGGAGATCAAATGCTATGTTCACTTTGACTGATATGTGCAGTCAGGAAAGGTGATGGGCTGTCTTTGTCCTATAATGCCCTCGAAAGTATACATGTATTTCCTCTTCCTGGCACTCCATCCCCTCTGTCTTGTCGCCGCCACCCCGTTGGCGTTGATAATGCGTCCATAGCATTTCTCCTGTTGTTCAGACCCTGGTTGTTTGAGTGTGTCTATTGAAAGTCATTGCTGCCGCCAGGAATTATGGCCGTATGTTTCTGTGATGAGATCAAACCCCCAAAATATCTCTCACACACTGCTTAGAAAAGCATAGGCCTTATAAGAAGCTGCCCAGAACTTAAGCATATCACACGCGGACCCTGCCGCGCGACACGAGGGAGAATCCTCTGGTTGAGGCAATTGACTGGGCCGAGTCACTGCTTCTTCGTCACAATTTCAATCAAGAGGCCTCTCAAGTGATGCTGTAGCTTGGCCCTTCACCACCTTGGGGAGTTTGCCAGTTGATGTCTTGATCTGGTACTTTAATGTCACATGTTTTGCAATGAATGCAGCTAGTAGCGTCAGTGTAAGTATGATATCGAAAAGCCCCGTGCCCAAGGTAAAGGGGACTTACTTCTGAGAGTTGATCTGAAACCGCACCCCGATATCTTTGGTGTCATCTTCGACATACTCATACACACCGGCAGGACAAAACCTGTTCTCGACGCCTTTGTACTTCGGCCACTCCTTTTGCGCATGTGCATCCCAATCCTTCACCTGCAGATGCACAGGTTGATCCTCCTCATGATTGGTTCCAGTCCGTGAGACGCTAGTCAAGATATCAAAGGTGATTTCGCCATCAGGTTTTGGATATTCGATCTTGTTGAATTGGTCGGCGGGTTTAGTGGCTGCCCAGTCGGGTTGCTTGTGCTTCAGAGTCCAGGGCATCATGCCACGGAAGACGAAAGCCTCCAAACCAGAGTACATGATGCCACCATAAATGCCGAGAGGGTTGTGGAAAGAGGGTCGCATGTTGCGCACGGCTTTGAGTTCAGGCCAGATCCAGCTTTCCCGAAGGGCGTCCTCATAGTTGTACAGGAAGATAGTGCTTGTTTCGCTGTTGTTTGCGAGAGCCTGATACGCGGCTTCAGCAGCCAACATGCCAGATTTCATCGACGTGTGCGTGCCCTTGATCTTAGGTACGTTGAGGAAGCCAGCAGTGTCGCCGATCAGGGCACCTCCGGGGAACGCACATTTTGGTATCGATTGGAAGCCACCTTCGTTGAGAGCGCGAGCGCCATATGCAATGCACTTGCCACCTTCCAGGACGGACTTGTAAAATGGATGGAGCTTCATGCGCTGGAATTCCCCGTAGGGAGAGATCCAGGGGTTGGCATAGTCGAGGCCGACGACCAACCCCAAACTCACCATGTTTTCTCCGAAGTGATACATCCATCCGCCACCATAAACGTTCTTCGACAGCGGATACCCCATGGTGTGAGAAATCTGCCCCTTCTTGAACTTTTCCGGTTGGATTTCCCAGACCTCCTTGAGTCCGAGCCCATACGTTTGCGGCTGGCAGTCCCTCCTCAGGTCAAACTTCTTGGACACTTGCTTGGTCAGGCTGCCATGGCATCCTTCGGCCAGGAGCGTAACCTTGGCATGGAACTCCATCCCTCGCTCGAAGCTGGCTTTCGCCTTTCCATTTCTTCCCACACCTTGATCATTTGTGGCAACCCCCTTGACTGCGCCTTCATTGTTGTAGAGAATCTCGGCACCCGCGAAACCGGCATATATTTCGACGCCCACCTCTTCAGCTCTTTCACCCAACCACTTGACAAATTGACTCAGAGAAATGATGTAATTGCCTTCGTTGTGCATCTGCGGAGGTGTCGGTATAGGAATTGCACTTGATTTTGTCAAGAATCGCATCTTATCTGACCCGGCAGGTGTGGCCTGCGTAAATCGATTTTCATTGTCCTCACTCAACCAGTCCGGGATCAACTCGTTTATAGCCCTGGGTTCCAGCACATTGCCGGACAGAATATGTGCACCAACCTCGCCAGCTTTTTCCAGAACGACAACGCGAAACTCTTCATTCCCCGCGTCATTGGCCAATTGCTTTAATCGAATGGCAGCACTCAGTCCCGCTGGGCCAGCGCCGACGATGCAGACATCGACCTCATCGGATTCGCGTTCAACGGAGGCTGGGTCGAAGCCTTTGTCTTCTTCGACATCGGCGTAGCGTCGCTGCAAGCTAGCAGAAATGGATCGCCTTTGGCCTGCAACAAAAAGTGGTCGTATGGCTCGTGACAGGCTGCGACCAGCTCGACGTGAGGCGGGGGAAGCTCTGAATATCGAAGCGGAGGGTCTGGAGTAGAAACGACATTGTTGAGCAGGTGTCGCCAGCCGCAACAGAGGTCTAGGAAGGGATTTCGAGGCCATTGCGAGGTCTGGTGGTCTGCAAGATCGGTGCGAAGCTGGGGACGACGGTGGTTTTTGACCTGAGGCGATAGGTTTGGATGGAAATGCTTCGGCGATTGAACTTCTCGGTGCGAAAGACGTCACTATCGACAGCGGTTGGCCTCGGCCCTAGGGTTCAACCACTGCAAAAACTCTCGGCTACGAGAATCGCCCACCAATGGATGCCCCTGCAATGCAAATCAGTCTCTCCATCTGCCCGTCAAAGTCTAGCTCTGTTTTCTCTGTCAACTGTCGCCTCTGGGGCTGTCACTGTAAAGCTCTATCAAGTTCTGATGCATTGTATACCATCTTGCAAAAATGTACCTCCCAACCAGTACAATGTCTTGTAGCTGCTCTGTGCAGGGCCTTATCGGAGCATCAGGCGGATCTATGACACGCATCCCCTGCACTGCCCGCTAACTCCGGATAAGGTGAGCCCTTGATTTAATGTACTTTAGTCATGCGGTGGCTTTATCTAGGTGCTTCATCCTCTTTGCGCTTTTCTGCCCAGTAACTATCAAAATGACAGCATATGCGCGTGTGGGTGCCTGCACAGGATCCAACAAAGGGATCGGACTTGCCATTATCCGCCAGCTCGCACTCCAGTATCCGCACTCTACACTGAACAGCGGCCCTTTACTCATCTACCTGACTGCGCGGAACGAAGAGAAGGGGAAGGCGGCTCTGGAGTCTATCAAGGCAGACCCCCAACTAGAACATGCAAAAGCCTTGAGATCTCATGGAGGGCTCACGGATGTGAAGTTTCTCCAGCTGGACATTGACAGCAAGCAGAGCATCGAGGAGTTTGCAGGCAACATCGCGCAAGAACACCCCGAAGGCATAGATTTCTTGATCAACAACGCCGCCATCGCGATGGATGGATTCGACGAAAACGTGGTCCGGAAGACTCTGCACTGCAACTATTATGGGACGTTGGATGTCACACAGAAACTGCTGCCACATATCAAGGATGGCGGCAGACTGGTCAATGTGGCCAGTACGGCAGGCGCACTGGACTCCAGGTACTCGAGGTCCATTCGATCTCGATTCTTGCACGCAAAGACACCCGAAGAGATCACCCAACTCATGGAAGAGTTCTCGACGGCGGTGTCGAACGGGACTTACCAGAAGAATTGGCCCGAATCTGCGTACGGTGTCTCGAAAGCTGGCGTGATAGGAATGACAGCGGCGATTGCGAGGCAGACTGCGCAAAAGGGTAGCAAAGTCCTGATCAATAGCTGTTGCCCAGGCTACGTCAACACGGACATGACCAAAGGAAGGGGAGTGAAGACGCCCGACCAAGGAGCGCAGACGCCCGTCTTGTTGGCCATTGGAGACATTAAAGGTGCCAATGGGCAATTCTGGTCGGAAAAGAGGGTCATCAGCTGGGAGTGACAGACTCTATAGAGGTTCCTATCCTGTCTTAGTATAGAGTTGGCTGGCAGAAGAGGCTCGAGTCGCAAATTCCAACCATCTTCTGATACCATGGCTTCGTGGGCATCATGGACGTATATACAACAGAAAACAAAGACGGGTTGAGCTCTACGTGCATAAATGAACATGAGAGACAGACCAAATTCCGAATCTTGGTCCGTCCATGGCCGTGCCTTTGTCCGCCGAGGATTTATTTTCTCCGACCCCGTAAGCAACCTACATTCCATCCCTGCATCTGGGGAGCTGGAACGAGCCTCACAATCCAGCTTCAATGTACAACCGCACCATTTCGCCCGAATAGTAGTGACGAATCTGTCCACTTCCATTCTGATTAGACACAACCTATTCCCCCTGGGTCAGGTCAATATAACAACCCCAGCAACGAGGCCACGCTCCGTGGCGCAAAAAGGCCAAGCCAAGGCAAGCTCAATGCATAACTCGGTGTTTAGGTAAGTTTTTTCCCCAGATTGCCAGATGCATTAAATTTCGGACAAGGAGGGAGGAAATAACGAAAAGGTATCTCCTCGATCTTGCAGCAAGGCGAGCATGCATAAACGTTTACTGGAGAGAAGACTGGATCCAGTGAGCGGTCCCGTGGAAAGGTTTGTTTTGGTTGGTTTTTTTTTTGGATATAAAAAGAGGGCATGGAAGACCTGATCTTGTCAAGACCTTGGATCTGTGTGGGTGGTGAACCTTTGGTCAAGTATAATAATACACAAGAAACGATACATACATACAGCACAGACGCCTCAAGACATCTCAGATATCTATCGCAACACTACGCTTTTTTTTTCCTCCATTGAAGCCAAACCTCCCTCCCCCCTATCCAGAAAGGATCACAGGCCCCCTTTTTCCATTCATTCATCCTTATTTCTTGGTTTAAACAACACACGATCATCTCATCTTGAGAGAGAACCCCGACTACGAAAAAAAAAGGAAGAAAAAGAAAATGACAACCCGCTACGCCGAAGCGCACGTCCCATCCAAGCTCGCCGGGCCGGGCGACTCACGCCCAACAGCCCTCCAAATCATCGCGGACAACCGGCTGGAAAACGCGCTGAGCGACAAGGTCATGCTGGTGACGGGGACGTCGGCCGGGATCGGGGTCGAGACGGTGCGGGCGCTCGCGGCCACCGGGGCCAAGGTGTACGCGACGGCGCGGAACCTGGACAAGGCGCGCGCGGCGCTGGGCGACGACTTGCTCCAAAGCGGTCGGGTCGAGCTGCTCTTGCTGGACACGGCGGACTTTGCGAGCGTGCGGCGCTGTGCGGCAGAGTTCCTCGCGCGCGAAACCAAGTTGAACGTGCTGGTCAACAACGCCGGGGTCATGGCCGTGCCGGAGCGGCAACTCACGCGTGATGGCCACGAAGTGCAGTTCCAGACCAACCACCTCGGCCATTTCCTGCTGTTCCAACTCCTGAAGCCCGCGCTGCTCGCGGCGTCGTCCCCAGCATTCCAGTCGCGGGTCGTCAACGTCTCGTCCATCGGCCATCGCCAGTCGCGCATCGTCTTTGACGACCTCACCCTGTCGGGCCCCGGCGTGTACACCCCCTACAAGGCGTACGGACAATCCAAGACGGCCAACATCTACATGTCCAACGAGATCGAGCGGCGCTACAACACTCGAGGGATCCACTCCTGGTCCCTGCACCCGGGCGGGATCATCGAAACGGGCCTCGCCTCGCACATGGACGTGTCCGCCATCGTCGCCATCCCCGAAGTGCAGCGCTGCCTCAAATCCGTCGCGCAGGGCGCGGCCACCACGGTCCTCGCCGCCGTCGACAAGGAACTCGAGGGTACCGGGGGCAAATTCCTCGACGACTGCGCAGTAAGTCCGCCCTTCCCGGAGGGCGCGACCGATGTCCTCTGGGCTCCGGGGTATGCGCCCTGGTGCTATGACGTCGACGACGCAAAGAGGCTGTGGGAGGTTAGTTGTCAAATCGTGGGCGTTGAGGATGATCAGGAGTGAAATTTCTCTGACTCCTACATATGTACTTGGTTGGTCCTGGGCCCTGTGAGTGTGGAATGACTGGTGTTGACCGCACTTTAGCTTTGCTCTCCGTGTTTTATTTTTGGAGGATCGAGGATCGAATGCTTCCTAGCGGAACCTCATCTGCATCATCCAGGGATTCAGATGCTACAGGACTAGATCTATAGTGTGACTTTCATCTCGCACATTTTTCCATTTTTGGCTTGTTTTTACTTCTTCCTTCTCTCTACTACTACCTCTCCACCCCATCCACTCGCACCACTCGTCCGAGATCATTCTTGCACGGCCAGTTGCTTCCTGTTGGCACTCAACCAGACCACACGTCTTCGAGGGCTCGTCACTTCCTGGCTATTCTTCTCCTTCTCACCAGATCCTGATTTGCCCGTCGTCACAAAACACTATGCCACACCGCTCTAAAGCAATGTGCCATGGTTCACTTTTACTTGTTCCTCTTCGCCAAACCCTTCGTGACCTCAATCACCTTCTCAACCATACCAAAGACATAGCGCATCCCGAAGCTCCATTTCTTCACCCTCACGGTATAGATGAAGAAGTAGACGAGCAGCCAGTTTGAGCACACAAAGACTAGGAAGATGCCAAAGTCACGCCACTGCTCGTTCGGCTTGGTGTTCAGCGTGGCGAGATACTCCCTCCCCGTCGCGTATGGACAGTACGCGCACGTCCCGTTCGCGAGAGTGCTCACATAACCCAAACCTGACGAGTCAATGAACGGTTGCGTGTACGACTGGCAGGTCTGGCCAGGTGGGGCGTTGTAGAGCGTCGATTCACCCGGCGCACAGCGGACTGCCACGTCTTTCAATGTCGCCGCCAGCACGCCACGCAGCCACCACGTGGCCGGGTTCACGTAGTACATCCAGTACCGCCAGAACACGGGCAGCTGGCTGTAAGGCCTCACGATCCCGTTAAAGATGGAGACCATGACGAAAAAGAACGGCAGCGTGTTCGAAATCACCGTAAACGAAGGGGCAAACGCACAGATCCACTGGCCCCAAGACGACATGAAGAAGTAGAACAGCATGGTCATCAGGAACATGTACCCCGCCGTCTCGCTGTCGCGTGGCAGTCCCGTCGGATAGTACCACAGCAGCCAGTAGATGACAGCGCTGATAATGGCCGTGGGGATTTCGGCGACGACCTGTGCCGTGCAGAAAGCGAACCATCCGTAAATGCGAGATGGATATTCACGCGCTTCCCACAACGCGCGGCTTTGGTAGAACTTGGGAACGACGCCGTTGACGATGGTCGGAGGAATGACGATGATCAGGAAAGAAGTGAAGAACCGTTCCTGCAGCGACGCAACTGAGTCGTCAAGGTTGTAGAAGGTGAAGCCGTTGAAGATGCCGATGAGGACGCTGGTGAAGAGCTTCGCATACAAATATGACGGGTCCCGCCAGTAAGAGCGGAAGGTACGCTTCGTAAGCTCGTAGGTCTGGAGTGGTATGGGAGCTGCAAAGGCGAGCTGCTCCTTGACCTCCTTCGGCGGCTCCTTGGACCGTTCTTCCTTCAGGCGTTGAATCTCCTTGAGCATGGCGGCGTTCTCTTCTGACTCAAGCCATTCTTTGTTCCAGTTGACCCGCTTTCCATCTGCTCTTCTCTTGCCTCCTTTCGCAGCCGTCTCGAGAATGAACTCGGCCACGTTCTTGTTTGGTGGGCATTGGGTACCTCGTTTGGCGAAATACTCAATCACAGCCGCTCCATTCTCCCCGATGGGACCAAAGTAAAACGGGTTGCCGCCCGGGTTCAGGGCCAAGACCATATCAAATTGCTGGATCAGCATCGAAGAAGGTTGGTGAATGGTGCAGATGATGGCTTGACCCGCCTGGGAGAGCTTCTTCAGGAAGCGGACAATCGAAAAGGCAGATTGAGAATCCAGCCCGCTGGTCGGCTCGTCGAGAAACAGCAGCAACTCCGGCTTCGCAGCCAGTTCCACCCCAATGGTCAATCTCTTGCGCTGTTCGACACCCAGAGAGCCGATGATGGCGTCCTCGATGTCGTGGAGTTCCAGTAATTCGATGATCTTATTGACATAGTCGAGCTTCTCCTGCTTTGGCACATGCCGATCTTGCCTCAATATCGCCGAGAACTCGAGAGCTTCACGAATGGTGGCAGCTTCATCGTGCAAGTCCATCTGTTCGCAGAAGCCGGTCCCCCGCTGAAACTCGATCCCAAGAGGACGTCCGTCGACAAGCATATCCCCTGAAACAGTGCCCGTGGTCTGCCGCTGCGAGAGGGTATTGAGCAAGGTTGTCTTGCCGGCCCCCGACGCACCCATGAGCGCAATCATAATTCCGGGTTTGACGTATCCGTTGACCCCGTTGAGCAATTTTCTCGTGCCACTTTGGTATGGAACTTCGTACTGGACATTCTCCCACGTGAACACACTCTTACTTTTGGCGATGCTATCCACCATGGCGCCCGGCTCCTCCTTCATCATTTCCGAGGTGCCGCTCGAGCCCGGGTCCGCAGGTGTCACAGCCTTCTCTTCATCCATATGTTTGGTCTCTTCGCCGACCATCCTCTTTGCTTTGCGGGTTTTCTTGAAGATCAAAGCACCACCTCCCCCTCCAACAAATGAGAAGATTTCAGACGCGAAGGCTGTGATCGATATGTAAAGGACCGTAAAGGCGATGACCACTCCGAAGTTCCGCCAGAGATGTGAGCGCGAATAGCCAAAGGTATTCTCAAAGTAAGCATCGCCACTGACGCTGGTGCTGCCTAGAGTCGCTCCGGAAAGAGAACATCCTTGATAGCCCGGTTGTGCGTTGGGTCCACGGGGCACCAAGTTGGAAGGAGAGCATTCCATCAAACGACCGTGGAACTCGTTCGTCAATACTGCCTCGTACGAATATGCAACCGGATTGATGTAGAACAACCAACCAAACCAGATCACATCGCCGGTCAAAATGGTCTTTGGAATCGTATAACCGACGAAGATGACCAAGAGATTGAGTGCGAGGCCGGAAAATCTAACCGCATCGTCAATGGTAGGACTCAAGGCTGCAAACATCCGATAGAGTGCCGTAATGCAAATCGTACTGATGTACACGAAAAGGAGAGTGATGAAGAACTTGCCCGCATCGACATCGAGATTAGCCATAAAGTAGAGCACTACCGTGAAGACGACCGCCTGGACCGCGACGACCGGCAGGTCGAGAACGACTCTAGCGATAACCACAGCGCTAGGCCGATAGAACGCATAGTCGCGATGTCGTTCGATCACGACACGGCCGCTGACCGCCCTCACCAACTCTGTCAGTTGTAACCAGCCAAGGAACAGAATGGAAAAGAAAAGAGCGCCACCTCGAGAAAATGCGCCGCTGGTGTCGAGGCTTTCTCCATAGAATAAGGAACCGACGATCAGAGCGTTTGAAATGATAATGAAGGCCTTGGTGTACAGCGTCGACTTGTCACCCCAGAAAAGCCAGAACTCGCGCAGTGTACAAGCCATAACCTGCCGCCAAAAGGAGACGGTGTAGCTGGACCGGGGTGAGATGAGTTTACTGTTGCTCTTTTGTTCCTGAACGGCTGCCTGGAATTGTCTGGTATCGGAGCAATTGGAAGCCTTGATTTCCTTTTCGTAGCTTTCGACATCGGCGAGCACCGCTCTGTAAATGTCCGATTTGAGATACGCCGCCTCCAACTCTTGTGCAGTTTTAGGTGTCGAAGCTTCCATGCCGCTTCGGAATTGCCGCTCGTTAGGGTCGCCCACTGAAGTCAGGAAGTCTGCTGTGGTTTGTCGATCGGGGCAATGGAATCCCAGGTCAATGAAATACTGGCGTGCTTGCTTCGCCGGGCCTTGGTAGATCATGCGGCCTTGTTCGATGACCAAGACCTTGTCCATGAGCTCATAGATGCCCTCACCCGCCTGGTAGAGAGTGACAAAGGTCGTTCGATTCGAAATGTCAGTCATGACGCGAAGCGACTTTGCATAATCCAAAGCGGTGGAGGCATCCAAACCACGCGTCGAATTGTCCCAACAGACCACCGTTGACTTTGTTGCCAGGGTCTCCGCGATACCAACTCGTTTTCGTTCACCCCCGGAGACACCTCGTACGTACTCGTTTCCCACTAAAGTGTCTCTTGTGTGGGAGATGCCAAACATCTTCAAGAGCGCGTCGATGATGATGGGGATGGTGTTCGCATCCTGTTTCTTGGTCTTGTTCATTAACGCAAACTTCAAAGTCTGCCACACGGTCAAAGTAGGGAGGTGTTGATCGTCTTCGGGATTGTAGTTTACTTCGCCGCGGTAGCTTCTCTTTTGTTCTTCGGCCGAGATGCCCCCGTAGGTGACCAGGCCTTCAACACCAGCGAAGGTTTCCCTTTGGTTGGCAATGACCTTGAGAAATGTGGAACAGCCTGACCCTGGACGACCGAGCACCAGCATCATCTCGCCATCGCGGACACTGCCAGTGAAATTGTGGATCAGATCCCTGGTCAGAGGTGGCTTGCCGAGTTTCAAAGCAGGGACAAATCTGGTCACGAGGCGGTAGAGGTCAGGTCCAAAGGTGCCCACGATTGCCTCTGGCAGGGTTTTTGTGAAGGTTGCTTGAGCGCCCACTCCCTTGACGGTCAGGTTCTTGAACACTACTCCCACCTTCTTGGCCGACTCCCCTGCCTCGGTGCGTTTCTCGAAATGACCGTCCTTGAGGAAAGCGCCTAGATCCAGGTCATCCTCCTCGACCGGTTCCGGGCCTGCCTCCTTGTCCCAGGTCGCATCGGTGGCCTCACTGCTGGCTCTTGAAGCGATTGTGCGGGTCCGAGCCATCGACGGTCGAGATCGAGCTCTGGAGAGCCAAGTCCTCGCTTTTTCGGCACCGGAATCACGGGTTGCGGTACGTTGCAGGCTGAGTCTGGAGATCTCCCTCCGGATCTCCTCAAACTGGGCCATAGCCTCTTCTCGGCTGACAGGGCCTCCGATATCGCGTTCACCCCATGTCCCCTCGCGCTCCTGGCTCTGACTTCTCGAAGGCTCACCGGACCCATGCGGCGAAGGCACTGCGCTTGTATCCTGCGAGAGCTCCCCGGGTAAGGCGACATTGTGCAAGTTTGCGAGTGGTTCTGTGCAAGTTAGCGCTCTGACAAATGTTGACGTCCTGGATCAAGGAGAACTCACCGTCGTGGCCGTACCGCCTACGGAACATTTCTCCACTGTGCTGGTTGAACATCTTGCCTCGTTGTCTTCTTGAGATCTGTGGGAGGTGAAGTCCTTTGTGAGTAGCTTAATATGCAGATGACCCTTGTCCCTCGCCAAAGGTCAATTAACTCTCAGGTCAAATGCTTTGTAAGTGGTCCGGTAGGTCGGACCGACGGACCGGAAATTGTTTTGAAACAAGGGCTTTGAACCGCAAAGATAAAGAGAACGACGGTCGTGAAAAGGCTTGGAAGGGGGGAGTTAGGTGACGAAGATATTGAAGTAGAGTGAGAGGAACAGAGTGGAAGCGAACGAATGGAGATACACGGCGACAGTCGGCCCTACACCGCTAGGTTTCACAGAGGCACACTGTATCTAGAGAATTAATCCACACCAATGGCAAGTTGAGGGCCGGACATTACGGAGCTCAACAAGTAACCGCGAAGCACGTGGAGGAGGATGGATTTATAAGCCTTGAGCATGTTGGGAGCAGGAAAAGAAAAAGGAAGGGGAAAGGAATACGACCTGTGTATGGATGGATCATTGACGTGGATTCTTCGTCCGAACCACACGGATCGTTGTGACTGCAACATGCAGCTGGGTAAGCAATGATTGAAGGGGGGCAATGTCACCATCAACAAGACCCCTTTCTTCCCCTTTGACGGCATGGATTTGATGGTTCAATCAAATGGTTTGGACGATAATGTCGTCACGTTGGGCAGGGCATTGGAGAAAAAAAGATCGAAATTTCTCGGTGAGGTCAGGGAAAGGTTGGTCCAATCACACTACGAGGTTAGGCTAGATACTATGTAGATAGAAGGAAGCTTCGAGTCACCAAAAGGCCAATGTGTGTGGGTGCCAAGCCACTTGTAAGCTAAAACAGCAAGTGGGATAAGAGTGGATCATGGATGATTTTCCGGACTTATGAGGCCCGAACAACTCTTTTTCCGACGTTTTTTATCTCCCCTTCTCTACTTGCCTTGCCTTAGAGGTTAATATAGTCCTTCTGTATGCCATCAGATACATGTCAGCTGCAAGTCTGTATCTGTCCTTACTTATACCACTCTCCAGATCTGCCTGCTTCCCCCGTATTCTTCGGCCGAAGTGTCGGTCAAAATACATCTTACCGGGATACGCCGTGGAGTGCTCGTGTGGCCAAAAAGATAAGGCCGTGGAACCGTGAACGAGGGAAATCACCCTTGGTGACGCCTTCTATCGGATGACACCAACCAAGTACCACGTATTATTCTATGCTAGGTACGCGTAGACATGAGTCCTGTATATCAGTACGCCTTCCACCAGAACCCCTTGTCGTTCTTGTCCTCAAAAGATGCTCCCGCTTGCCTGACCATATGTGGGAATCTTGCCGTGTTGCAGCTTAACTCATCATCTTTCTTCAAACCCAGATCTTTCCCAGATGGGAATTACTCTTACCCCCAAAGGGGACGGCGTCCCGGGCATCAGCCGATGCCGTAGGCGGTCTCGCTTAGGCAGATCGAGGTGGCCCATCAACTAGCTAGCCTCCAGCATGAATCGGAACGCGAACTGCACACCAGTAATTATTATTGTAAAGTAATCAACACACCAGTCGGTGAACACTAGACGTGTAAGTGGGCCCATCATTCATTCTTGGGATTACCATTAAATCTATTTTTGTTTCCTCGCTGCAGTCACGTATCATACTTTGTGTATCGTCTACCTTTTCACTTTCACCCAATACTTTGATCGTGTTGCTGCAATCTTCCCGAATCGAAACTCGCTGTTATCCTTTTCGTGAATCGTAAGATCAACCACATCCATCTCCGAGAGGTACCTGAGAGTTATCATCTGGTGTTTTCACAGCCACACCATTACCCCAGCGCCCACAGACGCCAATGCAAGCACCATACCTACCAGCCCAGCATCCTTGAACGAGGGAGGTCCGTAAACGGTTCTGCCAGCAGCACCTTGCGAGGTGGCCGCCGATGCCGTGCTGCTGGTCATCGACGATGGGGTGACTGTCGAGCTGTAAGTACTACCGGTCTGCGAAGTCGAAAATGCGAGCGACGTGGAAAGAGCAGAAACAGAGAGCGAAGTATAAGGAGAAGGGGTCCTGGCGGCAGAAGGGTCCACTGTAATGCTGCCCTTCGGCACGCCGTTTGGCATACCTGCTGAGACGGCACCGACTCCAACCGTGGGGAGAGGCGCGCTAGGGTCCACTGTCCATCCTCCTGCGGTCGAACTTGGGCAAGGTGGTGGCGTGGTCTTGACTGTCGCCGCATACTGGACTGATTTCACCCCTGTAGGGTTCAGGGTCTTCCATTGTTGTTGGAGGTTGCTGAAATCTGGTGATACAGGAGTCGGTACTCCTTGGCGGGTGAATCTGTAAACGCGGTCAGCTCGATCGGCCTCGGAAATCCGTGCGTTCGTAAGCCATCATATCTACCCTTGTATTATGGTTGACCCTTGGTTGACGTCTGGTCCCACCTGCGGACCATACGACACAAGTCCATAATTGTTCATCTCTTGAATCCATTCGTAGATGATGGCTCCAGACCAGGTGTCCACCATCTGCGGTCCAAAGATGGCAGCTTGATCGTTGAATGTGCGCGGCGGTACGGTATTGCAGCCATCCTCGGAGAAGAAAATAGGTACTGGGTAATCCTCGGCAAGTGCCTGCAGTCCAATGTATCCTGAAGTCTGAAAATCAGGTGTAGAGCCACACCACTCGTAGCTGTTCAATGCGTAGAAGTCGAGGCGCTCAGTCACGTTAGGGCGGCACACCAAGTAGTCCTGAAGCATAGGCCGAAGAACGGCAGTGTCAGTTGCCGAGTAGCCGATAGGAATCTTGCGGTAGCCTTTGGCATCTCGGTAACTCTTGAGGTCGGCAGCTGCGGAGAGAAGATAGGGCGCAGCGCCAGAATCGGCCACTGTTGGCTTATTAGTGGGTGCGTGAGCCTCAATCGAGACTGATGTGTCACATACAAACATTGAGCACCTCGTTGCCCACGAAAAACCCAGCGGTGTTGTCGTATTGTTGAAAGTTGTCCATAACAGCTCTATACGAAGCCGATTTGTTCGCGGTCCACGACGAGTCAGATTCCTGGGGCAGTGTCAGCTGCGCCGTCTCTAGCCGTGGTCTGGTTTATTGTTATCTGCCCTACATATCGAATGTATGTTTTGAAGCTGTCCATATCCACAAACAGGTAAATCCCAGCAGCGGCAAAAGCGTTCATACAACCGGCATGATCGGCCGAGGCGTCCACATGGTACACACGAATGGCGTTTGCGCCTAGCTGCTGCATGAGTGTGGCATCCAGTTGACATTGGGTGGTGTTGACGAGAGGGTCGTCTTCGACCAGCTGGTACGCAACACCTACGAGAAGCGCCTCAGTCAGCCAGGATCAACAACAGCCCTTCCGCCGACTTGACCCGTACCTTTGACGAAGAATTGGTCGCCATCGCTTGTGAAGAACTTTGAACCGACCACTGAGATGGTGGGAATTGCGTTGATCGTGGCACAGATGGCCGCCAGGACCACGAAAATCAAGGTCGATGGAGCACCCATGGTTTGTTGAGGTGAACGAGTCTGGGATTAAAAGAGGCAATTCGAAGAGCGATATTGATGTCAAAACACTTTGGTGATTCTGAGCAAGTCAGGACCTTTAGAGTTCGAGCGCACCAAAGGGTTGGGAGTTGTGGTAAGGTAGCAAGCTGTGCCAGAGGTCGGGTCTAAACCAACCACTAGCAGTGACAAATAATATGTGCAAAAGAAGAGAAGGATCTCGTCCCCAAGGCGATGTGATTTGAGTGACTCTGCGATCTGGAAGTGAAGGTTGGGTGATAAAGAGGGGCGAGCTGCAACAATAGCAGCAGGAGCGTGCGACCACAAAAAAAAAAGCGACGGGCAGTCACAATTCTCTTTTCACAGAGCAGGCGCGACAGTAGCCAGGAGAAAACGAGAGAGGAGGAAGCAGGTCATACAGCAACGACAAACATGGTGAGCGACGCCAGCAACGACAATGGCAGAGCTGGGCAGGGAGGCGCGAAAGGGGATGATAAAAAGTGGTGAAATCTCGACGACACGACCCGACGGAGAGCTTTTTCAACATGGTTCAATTTCAGCCGCAGGGCCAACATTTGCGCATCCGTTTGGCGATGATGGGAAGCGTACAACAGGATTGTAGAGTTCAAGGTCGCCTCCCGCTGCACGCTGCCCCCCGAACCTAGTCAATCGCAAGCCCAGGAAACAGGTAGTTGGGAAGACGCGAAATAGAATTCGGCCATAGCGTGTGCGGGAGACGTGGGAGACGGCCAAGTTTCATGCATTGTCCATCATTTTATCTCCATTTTTCAAGCCATGCTATCGAATCGATGACGCAGATTGGAAAGTCGTGGACGGAATTGGCCATCAACGATGGTTGCAAGATTGTCCGTTATCTGTTATCTACTCCGTACTTGGCTTTCTGCAGGTGGTCAAGCACCAAGATAGGGAACTGTGGCGGCACATCTGAAAAGGCCGTGGTCAATCCCTCTGGAGGATCCTGACCACCCCCGGATAAACTCTCCGGGCTTGCCCTCCTCTTGACTTGTCAGGCTTAAGTGGCTTATAAGGTACCTGGAAAGCTTGGTTGGCTGGTTGGTTGGGTTGTTGGCTGCGCGTCCTTGGCCCCTTGCACCACTCGCTGGTGAGTCCAAGCACTGGCACCTTCATTCAACGGCTCCTTTGGTTCATGCACTAATACCAAGTACTAACTCCAGACTTCTAAGATCCATGAACTGACTCGTACTACTCGCTAGGTAGGTGCCCTCTAGCCTTCTGCAGTAGGTTACATGGAACTCTAAGATGCCGCGACCGACAGTCCTGCTTTCTCGAAGCAAGCCATCGGGAACTACCCTAATCCTGGGCCGGTGTGATAAGATTTCTGAAACATGTACAATCTCGCTTGACTGCGCACGTCATCCTCATTATCGCGGGTGGTGGCGGTGCTAATTTGATAGAGAGTAGTGGAGGGTGGTTCTTGTACGAGAACTCGTGAACGTCGATGGTGAATACGAGGACTGAGAACAGCACATATGGATCAGTTAGTTATACGGATCACTGGTGCCAGTTGAGAAGTGCCTCTTTCATTCCCTTTTCTTTTTTGGTGTGCATCGACCTTATTTTCATTAGAATCGCACAATCCGTGGGGTATCTCATGGCTCATTCATTGTCCTGTGACCCCAAACCCGCGCGAAATCTCACTTTCAGCCCGCAACGCCTTGCTTTGATCAATTACATGTTTGCCATGCATGCTCTGAGAGAGATAGAGAGAGACCCAGCGACCAGCCTGCGCCACAGGTAATGCGGATTTCTGGCCGCGACAGAACGTTACACGACAGTCGTGCGTCGAACAACAAACACAGCTACCTCGACGCCCACATTTCCTGCTGTCTCCCGACTCTGGCGGATCCCATCAACCACTTCTCTTGCAAGCATGCCAGGTGTCACTTCAATCCGACCGCTTCTCGCTGGCATACGCCCGCCACTCTTATGATAATCCACTAAGTTCTGTCGTAGACGCGGCTGCTCTTGCTCAATGTACCACTCTTTCCACAGGGTGCGGTCGAGCACTACCTCAGCGGTTTCTGCGTGGATAATCTGGTATCGACTTGGGAGCCCTCGTGATGGTGCTCTCTGACTGAGAGCTTCGCACATGGCTAATAGCATGGTTTGCATCTCCTCAAAGCTCTTCATACTTGCGACCGCGTCCATTCGACCTAACTGAATCGCAATATCTGTGTAGAGGTTGTTGAGCAGGATAAATTGCCGCAGGAAAGGCTCGATAACCGGTCCGATATATCGACTCGCAAATGTTTGTCCGCCCAGCTTCGTCGGGTAGATCAGTAGTAGCGAGCCCTCATTCGAAGATAATTCCAATAGCCTGTCCGCCAAATAAGACCGCCTGCTCAACGTGAAAAAGTCCTCCACTTCCCGAGGCGTCGTAGGCGGAATATACCGTTCCAGAATCGAAATCTGTATACTACTAGGAGCCGCAATAATGTTCGATGGGCGTGGAGCCACAGCACTGAAAGTGGTCACATGGGAATGATACGCTGGAACAACGGCCGCATGCGTAAAGACAGTATGATCCTGGAAGTAATCGTCGCTCGGATAGTTCGTGTTTGGTGTTGCGGGAGGCGAGGCTGGAACTTCGTCCATGCTGATTGCTTGGAAATATGCGTGCGTGATGGTGATGTAGGGAGGGGATGTGAAGTGGTTCTGCACGTCTTCAACCACTCTGTCGTAGATGGGTCTCGTATGGGTTGACCTTGGCTGGGAAGGTAGAGCCTGGACGACCATTTGAATTTGTTGTTGACTGGTGAAATCCCCCGAAGAGGATACTGCACATAAATCAGTCAGTAAACACGTCAAGTTTCAAGTGAGAAGGGCATACCAAGATGCTGGCAAGCTCGTTCAAGCCAATTCAACCGGCTCGATTCGTCCCGCGACATGTTTGACGGTTCTGGCATTCGTATCTCTGACGGACGAGACGTGGAACTTGTGCGAGGCTGGCTTTGTCTCTGGCTCCCTGAATCGCTTTCGTAGCTTGATACCGTGCGGGCACCTCCACTAGAATCTGTCTGTGACGGTGTCTCCCATTTGAAAGAGTCGAGATCCTCTGGAGGTGTGAGGGGTGGTACAATCCCACACGGTCCGTTGAACGCTTGTCCAAGGACCTGGGACGGGTAGAACCACCCAGGCGTGGGTAATGGTTCTGAGATTTTGATAGGAGCGGCAGTAATGTCTAGCAGCCTTGAAGGATCTCTGATGACATCGTGACAGGATTCTGAGTGCTTTTCTTTCTCTGACCGCGCCATCAAAGGCCCCGCGGCGTCAGAACTTCTGGTTTTATAGATGCTTGCTGATTGAATCCTGCGACTGAAGTAGTCGTCATGGCCCACGCTGAAACCCTCCAGTGACCCTAACGACGACGACCTTCGCCGTGGCTTGGGTCGGGTAGTTCGTTGTTGACCCTGCCCAATATCATCGTCTGGTCTCTTCAATCCTTGTCCGTCCAGCATGGATCTTGAACCATTCCTCAGACCGTCTCTCGATTTTCCGAACACTTTTACAACTCCCTGCGTGGATTCATCGCACCGGTCTCCGCTTGACAGACATAGGGAGAGCTCTTGTATTCGCACAACTACCGGTTGCGGTTTGAAGACAGTGGCCACGCCATTATCCAGCGACAGAGGCTGGGAGGTCATTGGCAGGGGAGATATCGTAAGCCCATGAAGATCTGCTCGTGGCAAGAACGTGAAAGGCGAAGGCGATCGGAACAAAGGTGCGTTTGGGATTCTCCGGGGGAGAGTGCAAGCAGGAACTCTAACCTGGGTGCTGGGAAGAGGAATATGAATAATGAAGGACAAGAATTAAAAGTGAGTAACGACAAGGGGAACTGGCCACACTCTCTCACACGCAACCAAATGCTCTGGAAAACAGCCCTTTTGGACCAAACGGAAACCTGCTGGTGAACGAACAAAGAAGAACAGATGTCGAGGAAGCACTCGGCTGTGTCGGGCCACAAGACTCATGTACGACCAGATGTGAGGGTCTATTTTCTTTCTCAGATGGCCTTGAGCGGGCGAGGCGCGGTCAAGGAGACCCGGTTGGAGCACTTGCAGGTACAACACCGTAGCCTTCGCGCCATTTTTTTTCGAGCTCCAAAGTTACGTGGGCACTTCGAACAAGGCCCAACAACGAGCAAGAGAGGATTAGGCACAGGCATTTGGCTATGCAGAACATTGCAGTGGAGTTGCCAATCCCTGGGATTGGGGTGGTTGAGGATGACAGTTGGCGTGTTCTAGACCCTCGTGGATCGTACGAGCCACAATTCCACGACAGGGGCCTCGGCAGCAGAAGGGGAAACTCTATTGTTTTAGCCGTGGCCTCAAAATTCTTCTGTCCATCTGTCCAGCAAAGGGGGGGTGGGAGAAGAAGAGGGGGGTGGGACTTTGGCACTTAGCGATGCCAGTGGAGCATCTTGGGCCGTTGCGCATGAGGTGTTTTAGGGTTTTTTCTTCTTCTTCACCAGTACGAAGTAACATACGAAGTACTAGATACTGTTATGGATGTTTGGTACCTAGTAGTAGGCCGCTCGCAGGGGGGGAAACAGTTCCGTCTGGAGATCCATTAGGCACTTACCTAAAGCTCATAAACTTCGACTTATCACCTTCAAGCCCGTAAGCTTTGGGCGGCATTTGCTTCCTCTCGATGGTCCGTGCCCTGGAAATTCCCATCCAGACAATTATGCTCTTTTTTGCCCCAGTGCATCCCTCGGCCTTGCATAGCTGGCCTTCTGCCGTTATAAACCCAGAGCTTACGACTTCTAGGTACGAGAGCCTTCGTAACCGGTGTCTAGCCTTGAGAGAGAGATGCTATTATTAAGCACCAAGCTGGGGCAACCGGGCGCCAGAGGAATCCTGTGGCGGTAGACCAGACCGTAATTCATCCGGCTTCTCTCAGATGAACTGCCCGATTTGCCGAACGAAGCTCTGGGCTCGGCGCTGGTGGCGCCAGGAATA